AACACGGAGCTGATAAAACCAGTTAAACCAGTAAAAACCAGTCAAACAGTCGGCTGGAGAGCGTCAGAAATAAATCATCGACACTACAGATTCTAACATCTCAAATCACTTCAGTCAGCTTTTAAAATGATTTCATTAATAAGAAACTGTTTCCTAATTTAAGCTGAATAATCACAGATGATTTATTTATTGATCGAGTCTGATTGGACCGAAGAGGAATGATGTCAGAGTGTCGACTCTTTTGCATCATTATGACGACTCAATTGACGTTTTTATTGTATTTATTCATGCCGCTTTCGTTCATCTCCTCATGTTTAGATTAAATTTGATAAAGGACGGGCACTCAGGCTGAAGAGATTGAAGTTCAGACCTGAGGGGGGGAGGGGGTTGATTTGGGGTGAGTTTGGGGGGTGACAGGGAATTCATGTGGTTGTATATTCGTACTCTGTAATTGACTCCCTGGATCATCTGTAAAAAAAAGTGTAATGATAATCAAACTTTAAACTGTAAAACCATCCAGTTAAAATTTAAAAAAATCATGACATCATTAATAAATCAGCTGTCAATCAAAGTGTTGGCTGCGTCTCTTTGGACAGTGATTGTCATCATTAAACAGCAGAGATTCATTTTTATTTGACTGTCTTTTTTATTCTCTTCATCTTATTTTGAACTCTTTGACTCTGATTCCTTTCGTCCTGTAAACTGTTTTTTCTTTAAATCTGACATCTTTTTGTGTCCCTCTTCTGTTCTCTGTCGTTTTATTTTACTCCACCTTTTATTAACTCTCTTTGACATCGGGGTTTAACTCGTTTCAGGTATGGGTGACTCTTTTTCTCTCCTCGTGTTTCTGATTCATCGAACGTGTTTCTGTGGTCGGACTCGCAGAGACCAGAAACAGAAACAGAAAATAAAATGAAAGGAAACAAAGCGGTCGACCTTCAGCTGCAAACAGAAAAACACTTTCACATTCAGTGTGTGTGTGAGTGTGTGTGTAAGTGTGTGTGTAAGTGTGTGTGCGTTGCAGAGGGATTTCCAGTCGTCCCAGTTCAGGGAATTCCCTCCGTCCCAGCAGAGAGAGGGGCGAGCGAGGGAAGAGCGACACCAAGAGGAGGCAGAGAGAGAGAGTTATAAAAATGTTTCCTCATTTATCTCATCATCAGATTCATCCTGAAATCAAAATCATCTCTTTTTGTATTTACTATAAAATCTTATTAAAGGAATTATAACAATCTTTGATTCCTATAAAATCCTCTGACTGTACGTTTGAATTTGATGGTTTTAGTTTTTATAAATGGTCGGAGTGTCTTTGTGTTTGATTTGAAAATCACATCATGGATCTCTTTGTGAGAATAAAAATGTTTATTTCTGATCATCAAGTAGTGACTGTTTCTCATCAACAAATAAAGTTTGTAAGAAAGAAATGATTTCATGAACACGTTTCATTATTTCTAGCAGTGACCAGAACATACCCAAAACCAGAGTCCTCAGAGACCGAGACAAAACCAAGACCAAGACCAAGACCAAGACCAAGACCAAGACCAAGACTAAGACATTTTGGGATTGAGACAAGAACAAGACCGACTGCCTTCTTCTGACTGCTCTCTTATTTTTCATGATTTGAAGTTTCTGTGACCGAGTCAAGATTGACTTTATTTTCCCAATAAGCCAGAAATGAGGAGGGGTCCTATGAAGGTTAGGGAATAAAACATGGTCCGTCCTAATTTAAAGCAACAACAACCACATTTTAATTTACACCTAAATACTCACCATGACCTCTTGAAGCAATTTCATTTCATATTCATTGTTGCTTCAATAAAATGTTGCCTGTTTTGAAATGTAATGGTACAAGAAGGTTTAGGCCCTCAGTTTAGTCTGTTAGGTATCAAGGCCCTCAATCTGGTCTGTCAGGACGTCAAGGACCTCAATCTGGTCTCTTAGGAATTTGGGCCCTGCGTCTGGTCAGTCAGGATCTTTAGGCCTCAGTCTGGTCTGTTAAGATTTTTTGGCTCTCAGTTTAATATGACATCATGTTTGGGCCCTCAGTTTAGTCTGACAGGATGTTTTGCCCTCAGTCTGGTCTGTCAGGTAGATTCCCTCCTGATTGTTCCTGCTGAGTTTCAGTCGAGTATCAGAGTCGATTAAAATCATTTCAGCCCTTTAAATTCTGCTAATTGAAGCCGACACGTCTTTAATTAATTAACGAGGAGGTTAATTAATTCAGGTTTGACTCCAGATGTCCACAGCTGCTGTGTCCTCTGTGTTTAACCTGCTGACTACTCCTCTTCATCACTTCACGACCCTGGAGAGGCGCAGTGAAGGTGAAAAACTACTGAACTCAAAAGAAAAAGAAAATTTAAAAAGTATTAATGTTTTAATTTTAGAAATGTTGTGATCAACAGATTTTTGGGGCCGATACCGGTATTAGGGAAGAGAAAAATCTGATACCGATATATTTGCCGATATCTTTTCTTCTTTTTTTTTCTATGATCGATCTAAAGAG